CTGGGGCAGGCCATGCAGGAAGGAGGAGATCAGGGGAGTGGTGAAGCTTTGAGTTGTTGCAGAGTGGCATAAAACTAGGGAAAAATCCCTACCCAAGGGGTCTGCTCTGGCTGACCTGGGGGTCTCATGGCTGTTAAAGTGCAGCTGTCCTGTTGCAAGCTGCTGTGTGAGATGGAGGGGGAAGAAGCTCTATGCCTAGGCTGCCCAGAGCAGAACCCTCACAGTTCCTAGGCCATCTAGGCCTTGCATGCCCCAGAAGGAGCCCACCTTCCTCTCTCCAGGCTTTTCCTGTTCTTCTGGCCGTCACCCCAGCCCTGCAAGTGGCAAGACACATTGCATGTGTCTGGAGCAGGAGGGTCTCACCAGGCACAGGGCTTGTTTCAGATGGACACCCCCAGGAAAGGCTTTATCTCAGACCCTTCCACACCTGCATCACCTTGTGGCAGCCCCAGTTAACCCTGACACCACCTTCACTGCATCCCAGGACTGGGGGCGTCGCTGGAAAAAGACTGCGATCCAGCCCTGTCCCACTGCCTCTCCGGTACCCCCATGAGCCCAAGCTGAGGCGGGGAGCAGGGCGGACATCCCAAGTCATACGGCGTGGGATGTTTTGTGGGCAGAGAATTAAGCGGAGGGTGCAGTGCAGTCCTGCCTGGCAGGACACCCCCGTGCCTGCCCAGCAGCCCACCGCACCAGGGAGGAGGGGTGAGCGACACAGACCCGAGAGGGGCGCGGAGCGGGGTCACCCGCTGGGCACTACGGGGCGACCCCTCCGTTCTGGGGCACAGCCCGGCCCGTGGCGATGCCGCAGCCCTGGGCAGGACGGGCTGGGGCGCACCTCGTACCCTCGCGCCGGAGCCGCTCCGCAGGGGAATCCCCGCCCGTGACGTCACGGGGGATACCCCCCCACCCGCGCCCCCTCCCGGAGCCTGATTGGCCGCGCCCGCCTCTGACCCACCGCGGGCCCTGCGATTGGGTGACGTGCCTTCGGCTGGTCCCGCCCCCCGCTCTTTCCTGGCCTCCTATTGGCTGCCGAGCTGTTACTCCGGGCTGGCCCCGCTCCTCATGGGCGTGCTGTAACCCCGTGCTCCCCGGCGTGCTCACAGCGCACCTCCCACTGCACCCCCTGCACCCCTACTGACCCCCACTGCACCCCCTGCACCCCCTGTACCCCTCACTGCACCTCTCACTGCACCCCCTGCACCCCTACTGACCCCCACTGCACCCCCTGCACCCCCTGTACCCCTCACTGCACCTCTCACTGCACCCCCTGCACCCCTACTGACCCCCACTGCACCCCCTGCACCCCCTGTACCCCTCACTGCACCTCTCACTGCACCCCCTGCACCCCTACTGACCCCCACTGCACCCCCTGCACCCCCTGTACCCCTCACTGCATCTCCCACTGCACCCTCTGCATCCCCACTGACCCCCACTGCACCCCCTGCACCCCCACGGACCTCCAGTGTACCCTATGCAACCCCTCTGCGCTCCTTGCACCTCTCACTGCACCCCTCACTGCATCTCCACTGCACCCCCTCTGCACTCCTTGCACCCCTCACTCCACCTCTCCCTGAACCCTCACTGTACCCCCTCAGCAGTCCCTGTGCACCCCCTGCACCCCTCCCCGCACCTCTCACTGCACCCTACTGCACACTCATCTAATCCTCCAGAATTCCTTACCGCACACCACTTGTCTCCCACCTGCACCTCTGGTGCCATCCCATGCACCCCTGACCTGCAACCCTCAGAACACCCTCCAAAGGCCCTGCTGCAAAACCACTCCCCCCTGCAGCCAGGCCCCCACTGCAGGCCATCGCAGAGCACCTCTCACTGCCCTTCACCTCTTGGCAGGGACCTGCCCCCACTTTGTGTGGGGGGACAGCCCATCCCACTGCCCCAGCACCCTGGGGCTGAGGGAATGGTACTTGGTGTCCCAGGGCTGGAGGAAGCAGGCTGTAACCTCACGTGGGGAGCATCACAGAAAGGCAGGGAGCAAGCCAGGGTTTTCAGTGGGGTGGTGGGGATGAGAGTAGTGTAGCACTAAATCTGATGAGAAACTTGTTTAAACATGTCTTAAAATGGCCTTTTGTGGTCTCTTTGCAAACACGTGTTTCTTCTTCCCAACACCCCCCACG